CTTGCAATAGACGCAAAACTCTCGTTTCATGAGGAGGAAACACTTCGAGCTGTGTTCAATACTACCAGTCTGATAAACTAAACATGCAAAAGAAAAGGCTGATCCATCAAAGCAACAAACTCTGGACTTTAACAGGAAGTGTAAAGACCAAAGAGATAACAGACAACCAGTTCATCTCCATGGTAGAGAACACAGGTTTTTTTCCTGTCCTTCGGTCCTGCCGCTGTGACACTACATTTAATACACAGCTTAACAAGAGCTGTAGAGCAAATGTTTGTGACAACATCCAAGGTGATTTAAAACATGATGTGATTGGTGTTAGTTTTACAAAAGACATTTGGAGCTCTGGCATTTGTCTCACAGCATTGCTGAGCCTCAATGCACACTGGATTGATTCCTCCACTTCTCAGTTTAAGATGGTCTATATCCAGGTCAGTTGATACTGAAATCAAGTTTGTGGGAGAAAAAAAAAGTGAAATAAATCGCAAAATAGAAAAATTAGAAAACTAACAAAAAAAGGTGAGTTAATCTCCAATAACTTCAGTCATAGCCCAACAACCAGGTCCAGCCAGTTCAGAAATGCATTTTCAGGTTAGGTGTTCTGTATCAACACAAATACACACCAGTTTTTGGTCTCATATAGAACAGCATGTAAAAGAGCTTTGCAGCAATGCTACATAAACTGTTTAAAATGGATTAGGATGAAAACATCTTAAGTTACTTTTGTTATAAAAAATATATAAAAATCACCCAAAAAAACGGTGTGCTACACATCAGTGAAGACTGGATCGCCTTTATGTTGGGGAAAATACAGAGAGCAAGCTGAAGCTGGTCCGTTTGATCATTATCTTTATTATATAAGACAAAAATTAACTTAAGTTACATAATTCTTCATTTTTATGATACTGTGATAGTTAGAGCTAGAATTCTGGGGTAGGATTTCAGGCATCCCACATAAAATATTAAATCCCCAAAGTCCGGCATTCATAATGCAGGAAAATCCTGCACGGATTAAAATACTATTCTTTTAAAATGACCCAATATGACGCATCACTAATGCTGTGAATGACTAAGCACAGGACAGACCATCGAAAGACGTAACATCAGTCTGGATTACTCAACCTTCAGCTCACTCCCCTCCACTGCACACTCATGCACATCGGCGCAGGAAGTGCTTCAATGTTGGTCGTAACTGATCCAGTGATATAGCTGTTAGCCACTTTCTTAACACACAAAGTACTTTTAAGGGTGAATTTGATTTATTGCTCCAATGTCTGCCTTGATTGTTGAATCGTTATTCTGGATGTCATTTTTACCAAAGTAGGACATTAACTTTATACTGCGTATTATTAACTATTACAATCAGATACAGCATAAATCCTAATACTACTGCTGACAATAATGAACTAGATTAAGACCAAAACCGTCATGGCAATCAGACAGTTACATTAATAAGACAACACAGTGAAAAATTAGGTATCAGACTGACACAGAAGTGGCATAACATTATAGTCCAGAGAATCTCTGACTCTGCTCCTCGAAAAAGGAGAAAAAAAAAAACCTCATTCATTTACTGTGACTCTTTTCTGTGGAAATCGAGAGCTGTCTGTGTACTGTTAAAGCCTTTGTCAAACACTAGCAGTGGTAGTGGGGATCAGCAGTAGAACACACAGGGAAAGGTCAGTCTCCTGGTGGTCTTTTTTGTGTCTATAATATGGATGCATCAGCACTGGTTTTAGTCTGTTTCATGCTCCACTAAAAACTTATCACAGTATGTTTCAATGCGCCAATAAAAATCTCTCCATGAGTGAAACACGAGGGGAAATCCACCAGATTTTGACAAATGAAATTCCAGCCCTGCTGGATTTGTTTTTGAGAATGGTATGAAAGTAGTCGCATGCTGGTCAGTACTGAGACAGTTATTTTATTCCAACATAATGAGACCAAACTTAAAATTCATGCTGCAAGAGGATACATATACTCACCATCATATTCATTTGGACTACCAGTCAGGCTGCATGTACTGCATTGTCTTTAGTGTTAAGTTGATCCAAAAATAACCTGCTTTTCTTTCCCCCTCAAAGAATGATTGATTAATTGATCAGTGGGAGTGACTTTAGTCAATCAAGTATTTCTACAGCCCTACATAAAAATATTTTTGTAAATATTTGATACAAAAGAAGATGCATTCAAAATGTGATTAATATTAATGATAGATACTGCAAGAACTGGATTCAGCTCTCATCTCCTAAAGAGGCAGGCTACACTTGACTGATTCGAACAGTGGATTGGATTTCCACTGTTCAGCAAACACATCAATTTCAAACGTCTCTTCACTTTGTTCTTTCCTCTATCATGAAAAAACAGACAATCACTGTCTGCAGATGGTGGGTAGCACAGTGTACCATTCCAAGTAGACTTCAGCTGATTTCAGGTGTCAACAACATCAGAACAAAAATCACAAATAAACAACAGCTTCATGGTCCGTGTGGGTGTAGTGAGACCGCTTTTAATGCTGGGCTTCATGGTAGTAAGTGACAAATGAATGTATACAGGCAGGGCTGATGGGTTGCCCTTCTTCATTAAATTGTTATTGATTGGCAGAAATCGTAAACGGTGACCTAAATGAAGAGTGACATAATGGACAAACTGTTGCCGAAGAGGATACATTTCACACTGCCTCTTTAAAGGTCCTCATGAAACCCCCAGTTACAAAGGAATTAAAAAGCTTTAACAAAACACAATAAAACTAAACTCCCTAAAGTCTATTTTATGTAAAGTTTATTTCACAGCTGTCTCTGAGTGAATCAAAAAAGGAGTCAGACGTAGAAGCTTAATTTTATAAGCCTGGGAAGGAGGAGTTTTTCCATCACGTTCAAGTCCTGGATTTACAGCACCCTGATTACCCGGTTGAGAAAACTGTCTAGATGCTAAAGGCATGGTTGACGATTGGAGAAATTGGTAATTATTATGAACCTCGTTTATATGGCAAACATGGTCCTGTAGTGCGATCTCCACAAAGTGAAGAGAAGAAGAAAGGAAAAAATCTGTTCACCCTAGCAGATGCTGGGCTGCAAAAACATTGACCAATGGGAGCCGTCCATCCCGGACAGCTCCTATTGGTCAATCTCTTGCTCCGCCTCTGCATCCAATCACCTCGCTGTATTCGACACACTCCTCTCCCGCAGTCCCAACTCTTCCCCTCCCAATCTCCCGGCCCTCCTTGGAGCTCTAAGCGGCTAGAAATAGCGTAACAGCTTAGCTACAGGAGCTGTGATTGAGAAGGACGAAAAAAAAACACACTTCTGCTTGCCCCACCACCAAAAATGCTAAGGAAATGTTACATGTTACATAAATAACTCTTATTAGTCTCTGCAATGTCAACACGATAGCTGTCCAGGCAGCTGCAGACAGTGCACGCTAGCAGAGCTGGCGTTTACTGCCGCTAGTCACTAGAAATCCGACATTTGAAGCTAGCGCAGGATTTCCTGCTGGCCGGCTTCTTGCTCTGCCAGAGGGGGTGTGTCAAGGGGAGGGCGATACAGGTTCGGGGGCAGCTATCGTGGAGCACAGAGGAGAGAGGTTTGTGCGTGGGGGTGGGACGCTTTTTTCAAATCTGCCTCAGCGTCTCAGTTTTTTTCAACTGCTCCTCCAATTGTCAACCATGCCTTCAAATAGCTGTGAAAAATCTGCATTAATAAAAGCAAAGAAGACATTTGATTAAGTGTGTGCTGTCTTTCATCGAACAGAGGGGTCCTAAAGTGAAAATATCAGTCTGTGGTTTTGTCTGTTTGCTGTGTGAGTGCCTTAAATTAATTCAACTGTTCAATCTGATCTGAAAACCCTGTCTGTCATGGTTAGGCAATCCAGATAGACGACACACATTATCACATGGTACAATTACATATGTCCTTTGTTGTCTACAAGTAATCCCAATGAATAATTGCATCGTGTATTCGCTAATTGGACATTAGTCCGATGGCACGCAAATAAAGTGTCAATGCGGAATTTATTTTTGTCAGATGAACAATAAAAGCCTCACAAAGTCACTATTTTTCATCCTTGGTTATTCAAAAACTGATAGCTACAGGGTATGCTTTCTTGAACATTTGTTTTTGAGCTAACTTTGTGCCAGCCGCTGACAGTCTGTGATCTAGACAGTTGCAGTCTCGCTGTTATTCCTGCGTACAGATTAGTGACCGAAAAGAGAAAAAAAAATGAAGAAATGCTGTTTGATGCCCTCTCAAAGCGTATGAAAAGCAGCACCGTTTGTGGCTGGGTGTCTAACTTTGGGAGGACAGATCTCTTTGATGGTTGCAAAGATCAAAGGGAGGAGATTTGCTCCTATCTGCAGTAATTTCAGAGGACCCCCACCCCACCCCACCGCTCACACTGCTACACACACACACCCTCCCTTAATCTATTTTTCTTATACAGAACATTCGAAACAGTTCGTCTGCAGAAAATAATTGTTAGAAGAAAGCATAAAAGACTGAATGGCTCCTTTTGACATTATAAAAAAAATAAAAAGTTACTTTCATGTTAAATTGGACATCAGACTGCTTAACAGTTTGACTGTATTCAGTTTAGACTCAAGTCAAGAGACAAAGGATACCTTTTTATCACAGTGGGAGCTTCTCTGGAAGAGCTGGCAATAGTTGAGGTAGACACAGAAGAGCCAGATGTCACTGCATTATCATGCACTGCTATAGAGCATTTATGAGCCATTAGCCTGCCACGCCAGAGCATGTGGCTGCTGCTTATGAGGTTTTAGGGCTTAAGTAGAGAGGGGGAGGGACACACACCGTGTGAATTTAGCCAGGCTTTAAAGCCAGGCTGCTCTTTGTCGTTACCAGGGTTCGATTTTTGTCCTCTATAGATAAGGGATTTAGACATGTGAGTGTACATGTGATGTTTCCAGTTGAGGAAAACCTCATGCCAACATTAAATTACTAAGTGCCCAGGGAGATAAAGCTTTTTCCTTCTGTCCTCTCTATTACAGGACCGTCCTGTGAATGGATATCACAGCTCTCTTCACTGCATCATGTCAGCTGAGGGGCCAGCATAGATATGGAAGCTGAAGTCCCTTTTCTGAGGGATTTCTCCAAAGAAGGTGATTTTGTTCTCTTGGTGTCCGATATATTACTTTCAGCATTTCTGCAGTTAATACAAGATCTCATTTCAGCATTGTGCCTGAGAAAAGGGGCTTAGGGGAGATGACAGGCCTCTGTCAGAGCCTCCGTGCCAGGAAAATTAGGGTTTCACAATTACGTACTGTACCACAAGTGTCACCAAAAAGCCCTCTTCATAATTGGATCCATTTTAGGAGTTTAGGCCTTTTTTTTTGAGACATACAGTCAGAGCAACCCTATAGATGTCATCCTCCCTTTTCAGTTTCTTTTGCATTTAGATCTGCCCATAGGAAAACACAAAATCACTGCAGTTAGTCCCGTCACTGCTCTAAACAAAAAATTCATGTCACTCTCAATACCTATAATTCTCTGCCTATAACTTTGTGTTTCTTCAAGCATAAAGGAAATTAACTTCTGTCATTAGCAAGGACATTGGCAGATAAAACAATAGGATGTACAGTCCCCCTTGTTTATAACACATTTTAATTTTGTGTAAGTTCTACTTTGAGCTAATGGCTTCTCTGGAGAGAAATGTTGGTCATCTCCTAATGATAGGTTGCAGGAATAGGGTTGAGTTACAATATACAGTCATTTTTTCAGCCAAGCATGATAAATTTAAATTATGCCTTAAACACTTAATTACTGGTTAAAAATATAGTGAATTGAACCCAGCTGGTTTAAATTTCCTGATTACAATAAAACTGATGAAATCATAACAAAGAGCCATGTCATCATTGTATTGCATTGCATTTATATTCTGTGATGACCTCTCTTTGTGATGGAATCTTACATTTGCATAGACAAAAATGCACCCAATACTCCATGTTCATGCAATCGCCATCAATCGAAGTCCTGTCTGCCTCACTCAAAAGAGTTTCAAAACACATTTATGAAGAAGACTTTTTGCAGTTATATCAGAGATAAGGATGATTTGTTTGCAGTGTTTTTTTCTGTTAAAATGGTTGTATGTTTGTTGGAGACTTTTCAAAGGACATGACAGTTTAAGTATTATTTATCTGTAAACACTAGCATTACCTACAATTAAAAATAATACTAATAATTCTGATGTTTTTTCTTGTGGTTACATATGGGAGCGAAGAACAGAATGGATACAACATTGCTATTTTTTGCACAGGAATTTTGTACTAATTCACTGTCATCTATTGCTGATGTTTTTCATTTTAAAGTAACAAAAAGAAAATGCGTTTTTCTGACAGGGGAAATAAACAGTTGCTTTTAAGTCCATTGGATGGTGCTGGTGAGTAATTTTCTGGTGAGGTTGACAGAGGTAATGGTCAGCGTGCAAAGCACCATCAGCATTTATCACACGTGCAGACTCATTTCCAATTTCTCAAACAAGGAAGGGATGAAAGAGGTGATAAGATATAAGGAGAGCCGCAGGAAAATAAAACACTCACCTCACTCACCCATCATCCTAAGACAGCATGAGCTGATGAGCCAAAGCTAAGTTAGCTCTGGACATACTGAGCTTGTTAAAACCTCGTCCTGATTTAGAGCTAGCAAAGAAGAAATGGCAAAACCACTTTAGTAACCAAGTGAGTGAGTGCCAAAAGCATCTCTGAGTACTCTGGCCCTCTTCTCTCTAATGTCATCACGTCAGTTGCAGTGATTGGTCAGGTACAATCGTGCTGTCTGTCATGTCTATCTGTGAAGTGACGGCATAAATTTACGGCTCTACGATCCCTCACACACTGACCATCGTAAATATATCGCTGATTTCAAGTACAGCATTACCCCCAATGATCCCAAGGGTTCTATTTTTTCCGGACGCCGCAGCATGCCTCAAAAACTCAGCACAGATTTGTCCGTGCTGGAAAGGAAGTCCGACACAGACACAAAATAAAATATCCAGCTTCTTTTCAAAGTAAAACACTATGTGTTTCAGGCAGGTCGTATTTCACACCATGCAAACAGGCAGGGGCAAACAAACAGGGAAGGGTTGAAGAGAGGCTGATTCTAGAAGTCAAGAAGTGGATTTCCTCCTCTGAAAGGAATCTACTGCTTACATGGTTATGTCTTTATGGCTGTTTTAATAAAGACATCTCGTTATTGCGCAATTGCATGCGATTCCACTGGGTTCTCGTGAGTTCTCGCAATTCCCACTGTCCGAAATCCGTCAAGAAATTCGTCTCACAAACGCAGCCGGTAGGAACTGGCAGACGGCAAAAATCGGTGCTGTTCCGTGGTAGAGCCGTTCCGGATGCGGTGGAAAATGGGGGTTAGATGTTTTAGTCTCTGAATTGGTCACCATTTCAACTGTTTGATTCTGGTTTCTCTTTGATTTTTGGTTTCAATTCCACTATTTTCTGAATATAATGTATAAAAAATTGTTTGCCTGTCTTTATTGTTGGGACATTTGGGCTCTTAAAAATCAACTGTCTGCAGTGACAGGCCACTGATCCTTACTGATCTTTGAGAATTTGTTCCTGCATGCGTCCAGTCAATCACAGACTGTGCCTTTAACTATTGTAAAGATGAAAGTAGAAGATGGGGCTTTAAAAGCAGAATAAAAAGTCAGTAATTGCCAAAAGACAATGAAACTGGCTTGGTGAATTTATGAGGAAAGGTCTTTCAAAGCCTATAGGGGCTGAAATGGACCTACTGTAGGTCTCCTGAGCCCTTTCACTGCAGGCTGAGCTTCAGCTCGTAACAGGGACAGAGTCAATAACTTAAGACGAGTCAGGAATAGGCAGTCATGTATGATAAAGTTAAACAAAAATAGTGTATTTTTCAAACTACAGTGTCCATTAGTAAATGGTTCTGCTTATTTGAAAATGTTGTTTTTATATAATTTAGATCAACCTACATACTGCAACCTACATACAAAGTAGATCCTTCAATCTCAATAATGTCATATTAAGTGAATTCATCCATAAGAAAGCAGCTATCATGCCTCTCTCTCACAAAACGCCAACACCATGTCACCTTGCATCCCCCCTGGGTGTTTATTACAGCCCCTGAGAATCAAACTGTCTGGGGGAGACCATAAAGGTGATTGCGGTGTTTATGAGAACTGATTTTCAATCAGCCAAACACAGTAGAGTGACTTTCCTCTTGAGCACAATTCAGCCCTTCACACACTTTGTGATAATTGCAGCTCATCTGAAAAGGCTATTTGTATGCTCCATCTCAAGGTGTTTCTCCTACATTCGCCCCGTTCGCCATTTTGAATCTGTTTCTTAACTGTGCATGACTAGAGGAAATAGTTGAAGGGAATAAGATAGAGTTACTGGAGCACAATGTCACTCCCCTCAGGCAAGGTTAAATTCAACTTTATCAAAAGCTCAGCTGTAAACTGCAGTTTTGTGCTTGGCAAGGTTAAATGATTTGTGTGTTTGTGAAAGAAATCCATTTGGATTTTTCTGTGTTTTTTCAACAATGAGCTATAATTCTTAAAACTTTGAGGAAAAGTCATAACCAAAGACAGTTCAACACCAGCACACCTACTGTAAACCAACACAAAAGCGTTATCAAATTACCTGGCTGTCTTTTCTGTGACTCGACACACATACACACACACACACACACACACATGCCACTACAACAGCACCACCCTTCATCCTCTGTTCATTTTCATCAAAACATTGCAGATGAGGTCCTGAGCTCAATTAATCATTCTGCAGCCCTCCTGCACTTCCCCCTTATTAATCACCAAGCCCCCCGTACTGCAGGGCTAAGCTTCAGAAACCTTTCTTTCTAGGAGTGGCTATGCTGTCACTCTGTGCGTGTGTGTGTGTGTTCATACCACCCAAATGCACTTGCCTACGCACACCAGGCAGCTGCACACACACAAACACACAAATGCATCTAGGACTGCTCTTCTTACGGATTAATTTATAGAAAACAAAAGTCGGGTTTATTTCAACCTCTTTTGCCTTTCCTGTGAAATACTGAAAACAATTCACTTCGCAGAGAGCCTTATTTAATGAAAGTCCACAAGCAGTTTCATAGCTAACATCAACTTTTTCTTTTACATCTACTAGCAATTGTTCAATGAGCTGCAACCATAGAGAGGCATGGGCAGAGGCATTACCCATCCAAAATCAGACTATCAGACTAATATTGATGGAACAACAGTGTGTTTGTCTGCAACACACAGTGTTTATCTGTAATATTCCCCAAGCAAGATGCAGGATAAGAAAACACAAGATTGATATTCCTCAACGAAGTAAAGGAAACCTTGGACTCTATTGTAAGACATGAAAACAATCAAATTTTTTAGCCGAGTTTCAGTATTAAAAACATTTTAAATATTTGAAATAATATTCTTACATGCGTACAACGCATTTGTAGCTTGACAACACACCTACACAATCGTGTATGAAAGAGTACTTGATAAAGTTTGAGCGTGGAATAAAAGTAATGCTAAGAGGAAATCAGTCATGGCCGATCACAGATAAGAGCACAAACATTGCCACCCTTGCTCCACTCTAAACAATCAAGTATTTTATAGAGTTTATTTCTTGTTGTTTGTTGAGGATGATTTTTTTTCCAAAGAGCAAAGAAATTTTAATTCATAAATGGGTCTGACACTTGGTAATAGTTTGTTTCACCCTGTCCTTTTAATTTCCTTGCTTTAGAAATATAGAGGAGACATGAAACATATCTTGAATTTTTGGAAACTGGTTATAATGATCACTTCTGCTCAGGTAAATTTGATGACTGAAAACAGAATCACCTTGTTAGGATTTCAATAAAGTGAGTCATCATATCCAAGAGGTGGTTTTTTGAGAGGGAGGCTTCCTGTTAAAAAGTGTATTACCAGTATCACTGAAGTGTGAGAAATACAACTATAGACAATCTCTGTTTTTTGTCATGAAAACAGCTCTTCCTCCTGTCACGATTTCAGCGTGCTTGCAGAATTAGCCTCAGGTTGCAAGCGTGCAGCAAGAAGACGGGTTACCACAAGGCAAAGACTAAAATAAAACCAGAATGACCGCCTTTTTGCTTGTACTCTCTGGACAGCATGCCAAGTTTCAGTATACATCCATCACTGTTTCTCACAAAGTGACAGTGCAACTGTTGCCTGGGTGGAGTTGAGGTATATATTCTTAGATTGAAAATCCACTTCAAGGAATAATACAAACATAGTACAATTAGACGGTTGAGCCAAATTTGAAGATATTTCCACAAAATGATGGCATGTGCTGAAAAGGAAAAGTGTTTTTTAAACCCTTTTCAAATAAATTCAATTCATCATGTTGCACTATTAGAAATGTTCCTGAAAATATGGGATGATTAGACCTTCACGAGCAAAGGCCTAGTGATCATGACCTTTAACCTCTTGCCACCAAATTTATGCAGTTGTGCTAAATAAACAAAAAAGAAAAATTAGCCAGTGAATTGAAAAACAGAATTTAGATATCCATTTGAAATAAGTATTTAATGACATTGCAAACATGTTTCTATTTTTGTTAGAAAATAAATGTACCTAAATTAAGTGAAATAATTGGCTGACATTCATTCATTCTTTGCTTCTACCTCTCTCTGCTCTTAAGTTCTGTTTAATTTTCCAACAGAGTTAAACAGCACAACAGCTTGAGAAGCTGGGGCAGCCTCCTTAATTATAATAAATTTGTGGCTCTTATCTGTCCTTAGTCAACCTTGGTAATTTTTACTGCATTCTTTTAACTGCTCACTCCTCCAAGGCACAGAAAACGCCCATTTTTGTGTCAAATATCTGCTTAAAACACAAGACAAAGCCTTATCTACAGGCAGCTGTGAGCGTGCTAAGAGAGCAAATGATTTAGCTCCTCAGTACAGCACAACTTGGCCAGAGATACATTGGATTTTTCTGTATTCATGAGATGGTACACACTCATTTTGAGAATGGGCATATTTAAATTGTTTTCCAATAATACACATTATATCGTGAATATTAATATTTGAGGGGCTCAGTGAAGCCGAATTACAATAAACCAAGTAGTTACAGATAAATAAGGTTGTTTTTCTTTCAAGGGTAGGGGAAAATGCCTGAATCTCTTTTCTTTTTCGACTACAAGGCGACAATATTGCAATACAGAGTTGTTGCTTCACAAATGTTTTGGAGGAGCAGGCAAACATCCACCTCCCTCTGCAGTGAGAAA